CGGCTAAGCCATTGAAGCTAGAACTTGTGAAATATATATCGAAAGGCTTGGTAGTAATGTTATTGTTTTGTGGACTGTTTTGCGTTGCTGTTGGGCTGCATATTTTACTATTGTTTTGTGGAGTTTTGGAGGTGGAAGGGTGTGTATAAACACCATATATATGTAAGGTTGTGGGCTGATAGTTATTCGTAATATTTCCGGGTCGTTTGACACGACTACGGTGGTCGTCGTATGTATGAAGTGATTAGGTTGTGCATGGACTATTTTGGGAGGCTCAATATGTTTATTATTGATATTGTTTGGGCTGTNCAGGTCATAGACAGGCAGGTGCAGCTCCCCCACTTCGGACTTGTCGTGGTCTTGGTATGCATTTTTGTTATAGACGTTATGGGTATGTCGGGGCCCTGTTCCGGCTATGTTGTAGCATTTATGCTCNGTCCGTTTCAACGTAAAATAGGTTGTGGTCGATACATAATAGTTATGACACTTAAATGATAACGGTAGTATCGTTTCTCTTATTANGGCTCATAGACAGGTGTCGACTCATGTATAGTTTGGTATGTCTTGTCGGCTGGTTTTTGTTGTATAGTCTTTCATGGTAGCTGGTAGCTCGTACCATATATGTATAGTTTCTTGATTGTCTGGTCATCCCATGTTATGTATGTTCATGCCATCATATTTTATGGTTGGTTGTCCATGATCCATGTCTACCATTTATATTGATCTCATCAGCCCTAAAAGATAATAAAGAAGGTTAGATAAAATGTATGTTGGTGCTCGGCAAGTATGGTCGGGTGCTAGTAATGGCCCTCCAGTTTGGGTCGTGACACTTAATACCCCTAAAACCCTAGAAAGAAGCTTAAAAAGAACAAAAAAACCTAGTCTTGGGGAGCCGTTTTTTGAGATCGAAGAAGAGCCAGTCGTTCCAGCAGATTTGGGGGGACGCAAAACCATATACCGTCTTTTTCTTCACAAAAAAAACCCTAGCAAGAACTCCATCTCCATGTCAGCCGCGACACTATCACGCCAACCACCAAACGGCCACCACTGAACCATCACGCCAACCACACAAACGACCAGCTGCTGCTTTCTTCATCTCTAACCTTAGAACACCCCCCAAAGATGAGTCTCACTCTTCTTCAACTCATTACCGCCGGCCACCCCATTTTAAGACCCATCTACCACTGCTTCGTTGCCCAAAGCCGTCGGACCACCCTTCTGCCTCCACACACAGTCATCTTCTCCAGAACCATCAGCCAAAACCTCTTGAATCTCTAGGAAAAAAGGAGCTATTATGCTCTTCCTTTTTCTACTTCTGCCAATTTTGCACAAGTAGCCGCTTTTATGTCCCTTTGTATTTATAAGGTGACAACTGATTTGCACAAATGGGATACAGAAATGGACTAATATGATTACTACAATGAAGAAAATACCAAGATGTTTTGGTTTCTTTTGATTCAATATCACTTCGGAAAAACAAAATCAAAACAAAAATAGAGTTGGAGTTTTAATATCGGAAGTTCATTGCTTGAGCTTGTTTGGGTCTGAATCCGGGTTTGTTTGAGTTTTGCGGTACTAATTCAAGTTTCGCCCGTAGTTTGTCACATTTATGAGTTCAAAACTGTAAAACAATCAATTTTCCGGCTATATTGAGGTCAACACTTTCATTCTCTATTTCTTTTATTCGAGCTTAATGTTAATTATTTGTTTGGTGATATGATCCCGTTGTTTCTGTAATTATTCTCCATGGTTTTGAATTTTCTTTCTCGGTTATCTGATCGTGTTTACTCGAATTGGTTATAGCTGAACATGATTTTGTCATAGTATAGAAATTGGGTTGCTATTCGTCGGTTGAGCTACGTCAAATTAGATTAAAGGGCTCGGGTACTAAAGTTTGTGAAATTGAGCTTTCATGTCGGGTTGTAGGGTTGTTGGGCTAAATTGAAATGAGATATTGAAACTGTAACCTTTATTGCATTATTCAATTGATTTGATTGTTAGGAGCATGCTTAGGCCGTTAATATTCATAAACATCGTAGCTTTTTCCTTAGGCGTGATTAATAATAAATCATCGTGACTACGGGTACGGTTCCCGTGACGTAGTTGTGATGCTTAATTTCTAAAATCTGGAGGTACATTTATGTGACCCGGCCACAATTTAATCCTATTAATAAAATAAATATATTGTAGATCGTGAGTACATTTCCCATGATACGATTCGCAATGTGTACCAAACAAACAAGTGTACGACAATCGTAACTTGTTCCAGAATAATTCAATAATTAATTAAATAGGGTACAAGGAATAGGATGCACAATAGTTTTAAATATGTAATTAATCAGATAATTTGGCCAACAACAATAGTTGAGGTACCGTGCCAAAACCACGGAACCCGGGAATGCCTAACACATTCTCCCGTGTTAACAGTTTCTTACCGGATTTCTGTGTTCGCAGACCATAAATACGAGTTAAACTTCCTCGATTTGGGATTTTAAACCGGTGACTTGGGACACCATAAATTATCCCAAGTGGAGACTTTGAATTTGATATAAATAATCTCATTTCGGTTATTGTCACTTTAATTGGAAAAATCCCTTATACCCCTTCCGGGGTAGAAAAAGGAGGTGTGACAGCTCTGGCGACTCTGTTGGGGACAAGAACCCAGAACTTCTGGTTCAGGGTTTAGAATTCGAGCTTAGAATAGCTTTTATAATTGGCTTTTCTTTATTATCTAATTTGTATTACATCTTTGGGCCTAATGTGCTAAATGTTGCTTTTTACCACTTTGATATTATTTGAACTGTATATAAACTGCTGCGAAACCCTTCTCTTCTCATCTTCGGGGAAGTGCACGCTGGCGTGACTTCTTTTATGTTAGTGTCATATCCTAATTTAGAAAGAGGTTCAGACAAGTTACAAAGCCGGATGGCTTTTTGGTTCCCGATACGTAGCCCCCCTCGGCTCGAGTTGTCCGCTCGGGTATACCAAGTCTAGAACAATACACCCAGGTTTTAAACCTAGAAAAACTTAGCCTCATGTCGGATCCTTAGTAGGAACGCTTGTTTGCATCATGTGCATTTGACTTTGGGGACTCAACACAGGGGTTGGGTCCGTCTAGGACAAGTATACCCAAAAATAAAAGACCATCTTGATGCATCATATGTGCTACATATTCCATTTTTCAAGGGTAAAAGCGTCATTTGGCGGACCAATGAGGGTTGAGAATTTGGGTCATCACTCGTTTTGAAAGTAAATTTTGTGTTCCGAGGCATTAAAAAAACTCTTTTTTGTCTCACCTCGATTTGCGTGCACAGTCCAAGCGCGCTTCCGAAAAGCTTTTATGTGAAAACTAAGTAAAATAAGGCAATTGGCTTTTAAAATTAATTAAAGTTGACCTTGGTAAACATTTGGTAAACGGACCCGAACCCGTGATTCGACGGTCTCATAAGGTCTGTAGTAAAATATGAAACTTGGGCGTATGCCCGGAATTGAATTCCGAGGTCCCAAGCCTGAGAAATGAATTTTTGAAAGAAATTGTTGAACTAAAATTATAAGAGATTTTGGAAATAAAAAGAGGTTTGAAATTGATAGTATCGAGCCCGTATTTTGGTTTTGGAGCCCGGTACAGGTATTATATAATAATTAAGTTAAATCTGTGAAGTTTGGTAAGAATCGGAGCTCGTTTAGTATAAAATGGACCTTTATTTGAGAAAATAGTAATTTTGATTATCTTGAGTGATTTCATGAATTTGAGGTTTAATTCATAGTTGTTGATGTTATTTTTGTGATTTGATCGCACGATCAAGTCTGTATGATATTTTTGGACTTGCGTGCATGATTGGTTTGGAGCCCCGAGGGCTCGGGTGAGTTTTGGATAGGCCACAGAGTGAATTTGGACTTAGAGAAATGGTTGTTGCACGTTCAGTTGTGTTGCAGGCTCTGATCTAACAATTGCGAGGTCAGGCTTCGCAATTGCAAGCCCAACAGGTTTGGCAATTGCAAGGGCTTGATCGCATTTGAGAAGAAAGCCCAGCCTGCCAGTGTTCGCAATTGCGAACCTTCCTTCGCAAATGCTAAGTCATCAGAGGAGGGCCAGTATCGCAATTGCGATGACTTGTTCGCAATTGCGAGGTTATCAGACAATGCCTAGGTTCGCAAATGCAAGGCCTTGTTTGCATTTGCGAAGCTCATGTCGCAATTGCGACAGCTGCGACCAGTTAATTGGGACTTAGACGAAATTTTCTTTATTTTTCAAAGTCTCTCAAACCCTAAGCTCTTTTGGGCAATTTTCTAAAGAAAAGTTCTTCTCCAAATCAATTGTAAGTTATTTCTAATTCATTTTCTTCAATATAGAACATCTTTTCACATGATTTCAATTCAAAATCAAGGGTTTTCATGGGAGAAAATGGGTGTTCTGGGTAGAACTTAGGATTTTTCAAATTTTGGGGATTTGGACCTTAATTTGAGGTCCGATTTTAAAATAAATTATATATTTGAACTCGTGGGTGAATGGGTAATCAGATTTTGGTTCAAACCTCGGGTTTTGACTATGTGGGCCCGGGGTCGATTTTTTGACTTTTTGGGAAAATCATTAGAAAACCTATTTTCATGCATTAGAATTTATTCATTTAGCATTTATTGATATCTTTAAGTAAATTGTGGCTAGATACAAGCGAATTGGTGGTAGAAACAAGAGGTAAAACGGTAGTTGAGTGAGGTAAAAGCACGAAGGGTGATGTCGTGCACTTGTCATTGATTTTCTTATTCTTGCTTACAGTTGAATTTTTGTGTTCCTTTCACTTCTTTACTGAAATTTTATTTGTACATGATATTCCCCGCAGTATGTTTCCCCTTCCCATCTTTAACTGCTAGTTTCTGTCATTATTACTTGATGTATATGATATAACTACACAGATTTATTTGGTAGTCTTGTCCTAGCCTCGTCACTACTTCGTCGAGGTTAGGCTAGACATTTACCAGCACATGGGGTCGGTTGTGTTGATACTACACTCTGCACTGTGTGCAGATCCCGGTACTGCAACTTTAGGACCACAGTGAGGTTGCTGCCTTCAGTCCAGTGGCGGAGACCCGTGGTAGTCCTGCAGGCGTTCGCAGACCTTGGCGTCCCCTTCTATCTTTCCATTATGTTTCTTTTATGTATTTCAGAGACATCTTTTTATTTATCTTTCAGACCACTGTTTGTAGTATTCGTAGACAGTCCGTGACATTGTGACACCAAATTCTGGGTAGAGTTATATGTTGGATTCTGCACTAGTATATGGTTAAACTATTAGTTTTCGTCTTCCGCATTTCTGTTTATTATAATATTTTCGTTGCTGATCACCTGTTATAATGAATTATTAAAAAGGCTAAGTAAAAAGGTTAATGAATCTATAATACTCGGTTTGCCTAGCTTTCATGAATAGGCATCGTCACGACTCCCGAGGGTGGAAAATTCGGATCGTGACAGCGCCAAATTGTTTACCCCTAAAATGGTATAGTTAAATTTATACGTGGTTTCTAAATAAGTGAATTAATTAAAATAATAAAATAATTTAAATAATACGCAATACTTAGGCTTGAGATGAACAAAAAATCAAGAAAAATAATAATTCGGGGGGTAGAGCTTTCGGGCACAATAGTGATGAAACCAAAGAACAAGAAAGTAAAATTGTGTAAGCTTTTAATAGATTATAGCATAAGTTTTTTAGAAAATTCCCCCCTTACAATGATAAGAGATCTCACTACTTATAGTTACGCCTAGGGAACAAGGTCTTAGGATTATGCTCTTCTTTAATGTCAATTATGAGGGCCATTGACGAAGGTGTAACGGTGAGCATAAATGACAAATTCTTTGTAATGGGCAGCGCACTAAATGCTATGGAATATTCTCCATTAAATGCCACTGGGCAAAGGGTATTTATTGTATTTTTATGAGTGTCATTCTTTCCGGTGACAAACGAGATAATTATCTTCAGTTCTAACTATCCCTCGCCTTAGGTTGCACGTGTCATTCTCTTAAGCAGCCACCTAGCATAGCATATTTTACCCTATAAAGAGTCTTGCACTAATATCATATTAATTAAAAATTAGTGCAAGTGGCTGGAACTGTTCAACACCATACATATACATATATATGTTTGAGCATGTATAACAGGCTATTATAACTCATACACGTAAGCAGTGGCAGACCTAGGATTTGCGCAAGCGGGTTCAGTCAAAGACGAGCGCAAGTAATAGTATAAATAGTGTTGGGTATGACGACGAAGATTTGATCATTTTATTTATTTATTTATTTATTTATTTATTATTCTTAACACAATCTCAAAATGAAGTTATTTTATAGTTGGGCACTCTATAGTTTTAACATAATTAAAAATATTTTTAAAAAGTACAAAAAAATTATCTATCTGCTTGTAGAAATTTATTTAATTATTTACAAATTTTACTTCAAAAATTCAATTTAACAAAAATTTATTAACTCTAAAATATTTAAATTTTCTTTGTTACTGATAAGAAGTTGTTATCTGAAAGAGCGAAGAGAATAAATCTATAAATACTAAACTAATTCAAGTAACAATTTTTTGGAGCTATATACCAAACTAGAAAATTAAATATAAAACAAATAAACGTTACTAAACTAAATAAAACTAACTAATTATAAATAATTTCAACAAATGTACTTGCATTTTATCAAATTTTAAGAAATAACGAACAAATTTCACTTTGTAGGTAGGTTTGATTTTTTTAGCAGATTAAACTATAGAATAAATTGTATTCTGGCAAAAAGGAAGTTAAAGTAACATAGTAAAATAACAAACGAGTGGACATGAGAGTAATATTAGAGGGACTCTGGTTAATTTGAAACACACTTATCTTCTTGGTCATCGGTTGCGTACACTTGTCCCACAATACAGATTGAAAGAACAATTAGAAAATGGACAAAACGGGACTCGAACTTAGCACCGCCTAGATAGCTTGAACTGCTTAACCACCTCGACCAAGAGCATGTTGGGGCGAAGTGGGTTCAATTTTTTAATTTCTACACAAATATCATCTTAAGTATAATTTATCAATACATACAATATAATTTTTCAGCATGTTCAACTGAACCCCCTTGACACCATGTGGGTCTGCCTCTGCACGTAAGCTATGTGAGAATTTAACGTAAAATATTATTAAGCAATACTTAACAGAATAGGATGCAAAAGATTTTAGATACCAAGAAGAGAAGAAAGTATGTATACTTAGAAGAATATTAAGCACTGATGGCATGCGATTAAATGTTGATTCTTCTGAACATTTGGCAACCTTCTCTTTACTAAGGGTGGCGGCTGCCTAATTATACAAAGCGGTGTTATCATAGGAAAACATGCTAATGTTAGACTTCTAACGCAATTCACCATCTTGTCAAATGTGATGCCGTCTATGAATAGACCATTCAACCACCCAAGTGTTTCTCATTGGAAAAAGAAGCTAAGATATTGTGCTCCATTATTCCGTTTAGATGTTAATTTAAAACGTGAAACCGGCCGTTAAATCCCTTTGATTCCAAGAGTACTTACACTTTCAATGGTGTATCTATTTCGAAAATGGTATAAGTGATGGAAACCAGGTATGAACAGCGGAAACAAATAGCCAGGATCACTTGCATGTAATATAGACAATACATAATCACAGATTTTAATTAAACATAAAATCGATACTTATTTCTTGAAGCGTGACTGCAATCACCAAAAGACCTTCAAGCATGCACAAAAACCATCCACGAGATCATCCTCCAGTTCCACGGTCTTCTGCTGTGTGACCCAAATAATGCTCGGAATTAGCGAAACTCGTGTGGGCGAGTTTCTTCTAGGAAAATCGTGTAGTAAAAAAACTCAGGTCTCCTTATTGAAGATGACCTCTTTATATAGCCACAGGTTTTAGGGCTTAAAACATTTTTCTAAACCTTTACTTTTCCACCAAGAAATATAATTCCATTTAATTCTTATTTATTCGGTCACAGCAGGGACCGCAGTATTTAATTATCGAGGCTTCCTATTATGGACTTAATTCGAAATATCCGAATTAATACTACCATAATAAATTACGAATTATTCCACTAAAAATTCGTAATTGCACTCCTTAGTTCAATTTAGAAATTCTTCCATTAAACATTATTTAACACCTCATGTTAAGATTTAGATACTAATCAAATAAATTAAATTACTAACAATTTAATTCATTGACTATTTCCTTTAGACTTTCGCTTAACTTATTTCATGTGACGGATACAAAATCCACTTGCAGGCACATGAAAACTTATAAGCTTTCATAAAGGTGTATCATCAATCTCTATACCGAGAAATGGATTCCATCAACTAACTATTACTTTGCCAATGTATATTATCATTATCCAATTTACCAGGCATATTGACCCACGAAAGGATCTTGCCTTTTAATAAATCAAAACAATAATAATATACACAACTAATAATAATTATATCAAGATTAAGAGTGTAAGTACATTTAATGGCTAGAGAATTTATTTTATTAAGTCAGTATAAAATACTTATCTCTACTTGATCCGTTCAATACATACAAAATGTACTAGCCCAAGAAGTCGGAATTAAATCATTCTCATAGTCAAGATAAATTATATTTAATCTTGTGCTACAATCATTGATGATGGTTTGTCCAATTCCATCATTAGATTGTGAACATAATCTTTATACTTATAAGAACCGATGATTTAATCTTCTGTATATAAGCTAAACTTTATACACTAAACCATCTACTATATAAGTAAAGGACACAACAAATGAATATATGAGTTATTTAAAACTTTATTAAAATTGAATAAACAATTGTTCCATAATAAATACTATATCCAAACTAAAATTCATTGTTAATAGTATATATCCCAACAATAAGAAATTCCAAACAAGAGTAGTAATGTTTTCAAGATTGTATTTTAACATCCAACAATAAAAAAAAAAAGTTATATTAGTCTTTGTGCATGCATGTCTCTTTAAAGAAGCAACTGTTTCCTTTTTTTATTTTCTTACAAATTAATCAGGCAATCGTCTAGAAGTAATTCAAATAAAACTTAATGTTCTCTTATATCTAAGAAAAAATAAGTGACAGCTTATATTGTTCGAAAGATATATTATTATGGTGGACCATAATATTTTCGATTCGTGAAAGAAATAGTGAAATTAAAATTATACAGTTGGATCTCAATTTGAACGCGGTTATATTCCAAAGCTCGATATGGACCTGGAAAAGTTAATATTCCACAACGACTTTAATTAGCTTTTCCGCCACTTAAAATTTAAATAATGAAATAAAATTATTCTAGAAGATCACTCTAGACTTCTCACCATGATTCTTTTGCTTTCCTCCTTTTTCTTACGTGATTCATGAAGCAATAATTAATGGACGAAAATCACATTTTTGTTTCATTGCGAATAGTGGAAGCAAAATAAAATAGTTAACTACTCATATTATTCATAAAAAAATGGGTTGGATAATGAATTTTTTAAAAACGGATTAAACATGGATAAAAATCATATTATTCATTTAGAAAATGGATAATTAATGTATAACTAATCGGTTTAACTTTTATATTTATAAAGCCTCAAATTGAGGGTTACTCAAGTTTGGAAGATTAGAAATTCTCTCAAAAGTAATCATATTCAATAAGTCATAAATAATATGGATATGCATATTATCCACTGGTTAACCAATTTTTTATTTGTATGGAATATGGGTCTGGTCGAATAATTTATCCGTTTTTACATTACCAATTTTTGACCCGTCTTATATCTGACCCGACCCAGTCGTTTGTCCTCCCCCCGGATTACGGATACTATTTAGCTACCAAGAAACAAAAATGGTCAAGTAGAGACCACTCTTTCCTCTCACTTTCCTATCTTTTCTCACATTTTTTATAACTCTAAGGGGTCATTTGGTACGCGAAATAAGTTGAGATAAGATGGGGATGAAGTGTGGTATTAAATTAATACTATATTTGGTTGATGGCATAAATTTATCCCGGGATAAAATTACACCATCAACCAAACATGGTATCAACTTAGTCCCAGACTTAATCCTGGATATCACATCTTATCCCATCAAACTTGGTATAATTTTATTCCACCTCTCATGTGAGATAAAATAGTAATAGGTATAATCTCGGGACTATAATCCCAGGATAATTTAGCCCGCATACCAAACGACCCTTTAGGGTTTTTTAGTTTTTGGTATTAGTAGAATCCAGAATTTTGAGAAGATGGATGCACTGTCCCTACGAGATGAATTTAGAATATATGCGGGTTTAACCTTTAGTTCTTACTATCGCACNATATATATTACTCAATATCGAAAATGGTGAGATTAATTAAGCCTTGATTATATGCTACATTATCATCTACTACTAGTTTTAATATACATATCATTTAATTATACACCCCTTTTATCCTAACTTATGTGGCAATATTTGACTCGATACAGAGTTTAAGTTATAAATATTAACTCAATTTATTAAGGGTAATTAGGTATTTTAAAGTTAAATTATTTTTAAATAAAAAAGTATAATAGTCGTATTTGGACGAACTAAAAACGCATGACACATAAATTAGGACTAGAGGGAGTAATATTTTAAGGTGAAAAAAGAAGAATAAGAATTTTAATGTGTTAGACTTGAAAATTTTGAAAGAAAAAATTAAACCAAAAAATACTTAATTAATACACAATAAGTGACACCAGACGTGCCCATTTTCCGTGGAGGTGCCTAATTCTAGCGAAAAAAGAAAGGCAAAGAATAATAAGATTGACATAAGATTTGAACTCCAAACCTCTCTTAGAGAGGTGTGCCCAATAAATAATGTATCGTATAATATTTTGAGCTTGAGCACACACAATTATAATTTTTTAAAGAAAAAATATAACACTATTATAAATAATATAGGGAAGGGAGCATGCGTTCACATGCCCCTGACCCCTAGATACGCCCCTAGGTATTAGGATACTAATTCTGATATTAAATTTAGGGTTACATTTATCCATCTTTTTGTCATTGCTAATAGTTAATATCAATATAAATATTCTGTGTAGAAAGCGGGAATAGTCATAGCTATAACCAGTGTTTTAAAAAACATTTTCGGGGCGAGCCCCGGGACGAGCCTTGGGGCGAGGCGTATCAAAAATGCCCCGAGGCGATGATGTGGGGCGAAAGTCTCAAGAGGCGTACACCCAGCAATTCGGGGCGTATGTCCGGAAGTTTGAGGCACGTTTTTGTAGTGAAGCGGAAATAAAAAAAAAATTCAAATTAAAATAAAATTTGTTGAATAAGTCCTCATATAATACCCAAAATTCTCAGAAGTTTTAAAAAGGGATTGAAATGTATTAAATTTAAAAATGAAGACCTTTTTTTATTGATTGGAGCATTAATTTATGGTCTTTCCTAATTCTTTATCTTGTCAGCTAGTCTGCTAATATCTTCCAAAAACAACGAATATTCAATTTTTTTGTACAAATACAAAGAGAACTTCATTCTCCTTCATAGTAGCAAAGTCATCATTTTTGTTCTTCCATATAGAAAACTTTACNTAAACGAGTTTGAAGATGATGAAACGCTGCGTTTAATTCCTAAGTGCGATCACGTTTTTCACCCTGAATGTATTGATGCTTGGCTTCAATCTCATGATACTTGCCCGGTTTGCCGAGCTAACCTCGCCCCTCAACCCGGTGAACCGCCGGCCCAAGTTTCCGAGTTGAACCAAGAGGGTCAACAACAACCGGGGACTGAGCTTCAACAGCAAAACGAAGAAGTTTCGATACGCATAGAGGGCGACGAAGAACAACGAGAACCGGTTCAGCAGCAACAACAAGAAGGTTCAGTTAGATCGAGAGTGAAGCGGAATTTGAGCTTCAACGTGCCGAACCGGGTTCAGAAGCAAGAAGAAGGGGGTTCAACTAAACCGGGAGTAAAGAGAAACTTGAGTTTCAACATGCCGATTCTTTCACCAAGATCATTTTCCATGAAGCCAAGGATATTTAGCAAGTTCAGGTCACATTCAACCGGCCACTCACTAGTACTACCGGGTGAGAATTTGGACCGGTACACCCTAAGGTTACCAGAGGGGATTCGTAAGGAGGTAATGAACCGGGCATTATTGAACCGGGCTAAGAGCTTTGGAGTTGCCTTACCAAGAAACGGAAGTTCAAGAAAAGGGTACAGAACCGGTACTGGAGAGGGAAGCAGCAGGGGTGCTAGATCTAACAGACGGATCGATCGGTCCGAACCGGAAGGACATTCGGACCGGTGGGTTTTCACTATTGCACCACCATTCATTTCTAGAGGTTCATCAATAAAATCACCAAAAGTTGGAGCTGAAACCGGTGAGGGTTCCACCTCTGGAAGTGTGAAAAACGCCGTCAAATTACCGTCGTTTAAATGCTTGGAACCAAAAGGTGATGAAACCTCTTTGATGTCTGCTGACTCGACTCGATCTCCGGTTTAGTAAATCTTCAATCCGGTTCGAGATAACCGTTTTTGGAGACGCGTCTGGCGACTTTTCGTGTGCTATAAAAGAGGACCGTCTTCCTCATGATAGGTTGGGCCCCACCTTGAAAATTAAGGCCTTGACTTTACGCCAAGGTATAAATGTATATTAGCCCAAAGTTGACTTTCAATTTTACAGGTTTAGTAGAAAAACATATTTGTTACTATTTTTTTTATAAAATAAAAAATCTTCAAATTTTTTCTATATTTATTTTTAGTTTTGTGCATATCTATAGTTGCTGTAATAAAAAAAAAGTCTCATGTATTTTATTTTATTTTTTTCCTGATTGGACAATGTCCTCTAGTGATGTAAGTACGTGTATTTCTTTTTCTTAATTTCATTGTCCAATCCAAAAAAAAAAAAAAATCAAAACGGAAAAGAGTACGAAATTGCTTCCCTTATTCTTTATCTTTGTTAGTCAAGATGATGGGGGTTTGATATTGATTTTTTGTGATAAGTAAAGAATGTTTCGATTTCAAAGAAGGATTATGATTAATTAGATGGAAGTGCTAGAGGATTCTGATCCATTTTAATAATGTTACTTGTAGAGATGGAACTAGGATTTGAAGTTTGTGGGTCTTGACATCAAACCCATAACATGTTTTAATTATTGGGTTCACAATTATATATAAATTTAATAAATTTTCTAATATAAATATAAGATCTACACATAATCTAATGGGTTCGGTGGAACCCGTAAAGGACACCCTACCTCAGCCCTTGATTACTAGTCTTAAGCTAATTTAGTACTATTTAGAATGAACCTTTCCGTAACTCTAACAGTGGTCCACAGATCTGGGAGAATTAGGCGTAGGACATTGATTTCGTACGTAACTGATCTCGACAACTAAGTTTGGTTTATCAGTTAATTAATGTACCAGAAGTCTTTTTTTTCTCTTTATTCTCGAGTTATTGGTCAGTTTGTGAGTTTATTGCGATGTAGGCATGTCATCATAGTTAGGTGGTTAAATTGAATTTGAGAACATTCTTTTTAAATGTTAAGTATATAATTTTAATGTAATTTCCAGTATTTTCCATATTTAATAGTATAGTTTTAGTGGGATACATGCAACGCCAATCTTTAACGAATAAATACACTTTTCAATCAAAACAATCTTTTAAAACTATTTTCTCTTGTGTATTGGGAAAAATTGTATTTAAATATAAATGTGACGTGACGAATACGTGTCGAAACACGTAGACTGGTCAAATGGTCAAAGAATTACAACTAGCCAAGAGGCACAAGTTGCAACAGATACGAGTAAATGGCAAAGGAAGAGGCACGGGCAGGAATACAAATAACCTAGTACTCGTACTGATGGACAGACTCAATTCGAAAATGTTGAAGCTATGGATGAGGCTTTGCAAAAACTTTTTACCGCATAGGTTAATAAAGCCGTTCAGGCCTTGGTTTGCCAGTTACCTACTGTACTCTCACACCTACTCCAAATAACAACACTATGGAGAACCCTCGTTCCAGGATTGTTAATTCAGGCAGCGGTGGAACCCCCAGTGAATCGCAGGATGGAGAACCAGGTAATTTAGTTAATTCAAATTTACAAAACTTGGTACTAACCTTGTAGAAACAGCTCAAGGAGCAAAGTGAGCGCATAGAGCAGATACTCGGGGTGACGCCCATATCAAAGGGGTAGATATGGATAGATATTCACAACAACCCTAGAAACCTAGTGCTGCTCCACTCCCAATTCTAAAAAAGTTCAAAATGCCTGATATTCCAAAATATGATGGAACGACAGACCCACGAGATCACGTGACTGCATTCACGACGGGTGTAAAAGGCAACGATTTGGCTAAGCAGGAGATTGAATCAGTATTAGTCAAAAAATATAGTTAAACGCTCACCAAAGGTGCGCTAACATGGTATTTTCTTTTACCCGAAAATTCTATAAATTCTTTTGCTGAGCTTGCAGATTCTTTCATCAAAGCACACTCGGGAGCTCAAAAAGTAGAGAAAAGAATGGAGGATATTTTCAAAATCAAGCAAGGGGACTCAGAACTACTTAGAGAATTTGTGGACAGATTTCAAAGAGAAAGAATGACATTGTCGCGTGTACCTGACAACTGGGCAGCTATAGCTTTCACAAGTAATTTGAACAAAAAAAGCTCGGAAGCTACGAGGAGGCTCAAGGAAAGCCTTCGAGAATTCCCTGCTACAACGTGGAATGATGTTTATAATAGGTATAGCACAAAATTGAGGATTGAGGAAGATAATGTTCCACGATTTCAAAAAGAAGAAAAAGTAAGTTCGAGACGTGCGGAGACCGAAAAAAGATCCGGTAAAAATAGGTACGAGCCTTACATAGGACCTGCGAGAAAGGATTCACGGTCAAAGCAGGATAATCAAAGGTACTATCACAGATCAAGAAACAGAGAATCAGGTTCTTCATCAAGATTCAGGAACGAGCGAAACAACTATGAGTCACGAGATAATGATAAAAAATTAAAAGCAAAATTCGGTGGTTACAACTTCAACGCCAGCACCTCCGAGCTCGTAGCTATTTTGAGAAGCATGAGAGATAAGGTTTGATGGCCAAAGGAAAAGAGATCGAACCCAAACAGGCGCAACCCTGACCAATGGTGCGAGTTTCTTAATGACCACGAACATAAAATAGCAGATTGCATGCTTTTACAAAGTGAAGTTGATCATTTATTAAAACAAGGGTACCTTACTGAGTTGTTCAGTGAGAAAGGCAAGCAAGCTTACATGAAGAACATGCAGGAGCCTCCAAAACCACATTCTCCCAAAAGAACTGTCAACGTTATAAGTGGAGGTGAAGACGTCAATGGTATATCATATACTGCAGCTAACAAAATTTCCAAAGTAACAATTACCCAAGGGAAACGGGTGCGACATATTTTAGAGGAAGACAATATTACATTCAATGATGCAGATGCAGATGGCGTATTAACCCCTCATAACGACATATTGGTAATATCTTTAATTATACATGATACTAATGTGAAACGAGTTTTGATTGATCCAGGTAGTTCCGTGAATATTATTTTACTGAGAGTATTACGTGAGATGCAAGCTGAAGATAAAGTGATACCAAAGGCGCATACTCTATCTGGATTTGATAATTCTAGTGTCTTCACGAAAGGAGAGGTAACACTCACCATATTCGCTGAAGGAGTCGTTAAAGATACAAAGTTCCAGGTGGTAGATATGGAGATGGCTTACAACATGATTCTTGGGAGACTATGAATCCACGAAATGGATGTTGTTCCTTCAACCTTGCATCAAGTTATTGAATTTCGATCGCCATGGGGAATCTGTCAAATTCGTGGAGATCAACATACAGCCAGGGCTATCAACTCTATTGCAGATACAAGCACGAGAAATGAAGGTAAATAGCAATCACAGAAGACAGTTGAGGTCACCACAACACAAACCTCAACTGAACAAGGGTAAACAGATGTAGATTCAAGGCCTGATACCATTCAAGAACCAGAAGAGAATGAAAATATTAAAACAACAATAGAGGAATTAGAGCCTGTCGTGTTATTTGCTCAATGGCCTGATAAAAAAGTCTATGTTGGAGCCAATCTTAGCCAAGGTATGAGAGGTAAGTTAATTGAATTTCTGAAAACTAACGTGGATTGCTTTGCTTGGTCCCATTCTGACATGACAAGAATACCCCCAGAGGTGATGACCCATAAACTAAATAAAGATCCATCGTACCCTCTTGTCAAGCAAAAGAAAAGAAAGCAAGGAACTTTCAAGAATCAGGTGATTCAGGAAGAAGTCCAAAATTGCTAAAAGTTGGTTCTATTCGTGAGGTAAAATATCCTAACTGGTTAGCTAACAACGTTGTGGTTCCAAATAAGAACGGTAAGTGGCGAGTTTGTGTAGATTACACAGATCTTAATAAAGTCTGCCCTAAAGATTCTTTCCCATTACCACACATAGATCAATTGATTGATGCAACTGTAGGTCACGAACTATTAAGTTTTTTAGATGCATATTCAGGTTATAATCAGATTAAAATGGATTCGGGAGATGAAGAAAAAACTTCATTCATAACAGACAGAGGGACTTATTGTTACAAAGTAATGCCCTTTGGTCTAAAGAATGCAGGCACAACGTATCGGAGGTTAGTTACCAAAATATTTCTAGAGCATTTAGAAAAAACTATGGAGGTATATATAGATGATATGCTTGTTAAAATTCAGTATTCAAAATATCACATATCACACTTATCTGATACATTTTCAATTTTGCGCAAATTTAATATGAAGTTAAATTCTGAAAAATATGCTTTTGGTGTTGCATCAGGTAAGTTTTTGTGTTTTCTTATTTCTAACCGTGGTATTGAAGTAAATCATGCACAGATCAAGGCCATTGAGGAAATACCCGATATACTTTCAAACAAGAAAGAAGTTCAAAGATTAACAGGGAGAATTGCAGCCTTGGGAAGATTCATTTCTAAATCATCAGAGAAGTGTTTCAAATTCTTCTCAGCCCTTAAGGAGCAAGATCATTTCGAATGGAATGAGGAATGTCAACAGGCACTCGGGAATTTGAAAACGTACTTATCAAATCCACCTTTGCTGGCAAAACCAAAGGCTGGGGAAAGACTACTCATTTACCTTGCTGTTTCAGAAGTTGCGGTAAACGCTGTTTTGGTCCAAGAAGAACAAGGTAAACAATCTCATATCTATTATGTTAGTAAATCTTTGTTAGATGCGGAGACATGGCATCCTCAGTTAGAAAAACTTGCATTTGCATTAATCATGGCATCTAGAAAGTTAAGACCTTACTTTCAGTGTCATCATATCGTTGTAGTAACTGCTTACCCTTTACGTAATATATTACATAAGCATGAGCTATCAGGTAGGCAAGCTAAGTGAACAATAGAGTTGAGTGAATATGAAACCACGTACCAACCTAGAACTGCTATAAAATCACAAGTGTTAGCTGATTTCGTGGCCGATTTTAGCCAAGAGATGCAATTAGAAGCAGAAAAAAGAATTACAGGTATTCAATGGGGCTAACCCGGGAACTTGGACTTTATTCACTGATGACTCATCTAATGTAAAAGGTGCAGGTTTAGGGATTGTCTTGGTACCACCTACGGGTGAGACCATTCGACAAGCTATTAAATGTCACTCTATAACTAACAATGAAGCAGAGTATGAGGCTATGATTGCATGTCTAGAATTGGCACGAGAGCTTGGCATAAATCAGATTATAA